TACACTGGCCGCTTGAATTTGCGCAAGAACACTGACGATCTGATGTAAGATTGTCAGTGTTCTTCTGCAAATACTATGATGCTCCCATTTGGGAAAAAGCCCTCTTGCACAAATGTATTTGCACAAGAGGGCGAGTGTAGACAGCTCAGGACTGTTTTGTACAAAAAAGCCCCAATGGCGAAAATGGCAATCGGGGCTTTCTTGCGCAAAACCGTGTCTAGATTGGCACAGACGCTTTTCCGCTTTTTCCATGCCAATCTAGACGCTCTTTTCCGCAAATCTAGATGTAGCCATGCTATTTGAAAACAGGGCTGTGTTGAACCACACCAACAGAGCATTACCAGATCACTCATTGCACACCCAAACCGACAACCCCAGCACACACCCATTCTCGGATAGCTACATAAAGCTCAAAAATTGCTAAATACAGGCCCTCAATAATGAAATGAATAAACCCTGAAAACAGAAGCCCTACTTAATAGTTACATTTTTAAAATAATGCTTCAACCAATACAGTCCCATGAAACATTTTAATTTAAATGATGCAGCATTTCCCAAAAGAAGACGTCCATCAGAAAGTTTTCCACCAGGTTCTCCCAGGTTAAACTTCCTGGGGAGGCAGTTAAATGTTGTGATTCCCATTTTATAGATGGGGATAGTGACCTGTAAATATAACAGAGAATCAACAATGGAGCAAAAAATAGAGCCTGGACAATCCAGCAATCCTGTACTTTAACCCTTAGACCACACTTTCTATCTGAGGAATGTCCTTTTACCAGCACCGAGTTCACAAACACACACACACGCACGCACGCAAAAGGAAAACTAGTGTTTTTCAGTCTCATTGGCCACTAGTCCTGGGAGTTTGGGATGATTTTAGCCTCCTACTGTCGTTTTTTCTGCTCGCTGAGGTGATTATAAATAGCTGCTTTCCTACTTTTGTAGCATTAGCAGCCAGGGAAGAAAGTCGTGGGTGGTGAGTGAACCCAGGCCCGGGGGAAGCAACTCCCTAGCCCCGCCTTTTCACCCAAAGGCCCCGCCCCTTCTCCCTGAGGTCCCCAGCAGAACTCCCCTCAATAGCCAGTGGGCGGCCCCAACCTCCCCAGCCCAGAGCACAGGGAGGCCGAGCGACCCCGGCCATCCCAAAGCATGGGAGGGGTGCAGAGCCTCAGCCTCTTGGTCCTGGAGCGCGAGGAAGGAAGCCTGGGCAGCCCCGGGAGACGCGAGGGAGCCACGCTGAAGCCGAGGCAGCCGGGGGCGGAGTGTGGGCGGAGCCATGCTGGCCGTTTACCCTGACTCGATACCTGCTTCCCCCGGATAAAGGGGCTTAAGTCAGTGGTTACAATGCGCCCGCGGCTCAGGGGTAGATCTTCGATTACGTTCATTTCCCCCATCTCTACCCAAAGAGGGCTCGGTATAAAATCACTCACCAGACAGTGGAGCACGAACACCCAGTTTCGTGCCACACAATGATTATTTGGGCCTGATTAGTCACTGCCCTGCCCCCGCTGTACTGATCACCCCGGTGTCCACTAAGGCCACTCGACACCCTGGGGCAGGATTAGTGACCCCAGGTCACTGTACGCCGCCCGAGTGAGGCAAAGCGGCCTGGAAGCAAACGAGAGTCGGTCTGTTCTGACTAAGTCGCACCTCCCACCCCCTCTGCTCTGGTGAAACGACCACACCAACAGCAGCGACTCGTTGACTTTTATGGGACGAGAGGCACACAGCTCTCCAAATGGACTGTTGGACTCGCTCCATCTTGAATTGCTTTAATGTGGGGTTGCCATATTCCCCTGAAGTCAATACTCTAAGAGCCAGTGGATTACACAATTAATTATTCATTACTATCCTCATCGGAGTCGGATTCCTTGGCCTCTTGCATAGGCATTTAAACCCGCGAGGAGCCGCTGGCAGCAGTCCAAGCGGTGCAAAGCGTTCCTGCATGACAACAAGGCACGGCCCAGCGCGTGTTGCTTGAGGGAACGGATGACCCAAGAGGGCAGAGCAGAGGGCCCGGAATGTGCGTTGTCGCGTGCGCCCCTGCGTGTGGTTGTGTGTTGTGTTGGGCGTTTCCGCAGGCGCTCGTGAACACACCGAGACACGTTCCCTATGCCACGTAAGCACCATGCCGCCTTCACGCAGCCTTCCCAACCAGCACAAGTGGGGCTTTTAAGGGAAAGATTTAAGGGGAAAAAAAACCGTGCACAGTTAGTTGCAGCGGAACTTTAATGCAGCCCAGAGTGGTGAAGCAGAACACTTAAGAGGCATTTTTCTAACTGCAGGCGGTTGGTTTCTGCTTGCCGGGAGACATCTGGGAGCCATATGGCAGCACGCGGAAGGGGGGTTTGCAGGAGAAAATAACCCTATTGCCTTTAATTGGGGGGCCCGCCGGTGATGAACTACTCTGGCAAAACAAGCCTTCAGTGTTTGCTGGAGAGCCCCTGGCAATCTGATGGGGGCCGCTATCTTCATTTGGCCTTGATGGCTCCTGGGTTGGCTCAGGGAAACCTGCTTTCTGAGATTCAGCGCTCGGCTTTCGCTCTGCCACGTGGCCCTCGCTGCTCACGCTGCTGCCCACGTCCGCTCTGTGTGGCTGAGATGTTCCTCGGGCCCCCGCCTTCCTCAGCTTGTCTTGCTCCACAAGCATCTTGACCGTCGGAGAGGTGAAGGTGATGTAGGCTGGCCACCGGCGGCCACGGGGGATCAAAGGGCTGGGGAGGCCAATCTCCACAAGCATCTTGACCGTCGGAGAGGTGAAGGTGATGTAGGCTGGCCACCGGCGGCCACGGGGGATCAAAGGGCTGGGGAGGCCGATATTTGCCGAGAAACGACTTTGTTCTGG